CCTTTTCAGCGCCTATTTTTCTTATTTCTCCTGCCGATGCATGCAAGGAAAGAGATTTTACATTTCACTCAACATGAGTATATATGACTTGAAGCCCAAATGTTTGATCAGTAGCCTTCTTGCCCTTAGCAAAGTGGTGTTCTTCCCCCATCAGCACCTTGTTACCTCCCACACACATAAGGAGAACAAAGTATCCAGATGATGATATTATAATCTTTTAAAAAAATAACTTTCCCTAGATATATTTAAAGTAGCAAAAATAAAACAATCTACTAACTAGACTTCAATCCATGTACTGGATGCATTTTTTTCCCACTTTTTCCACTATCACCCTTATGTACTATAAATTAATGTTAAATCCCCTTGGCTATTTATAGGTTCAAATCTCTTAGCTGTTGAGCTGTCAGTATGGGAAAAATAAATTACTTTGATGTTAATTAAGATGTCTGCTGTGCTTGATTCTTAACTTCTCCCTTTTGCAAATTATATATATACATATATATATACATATACACACACACGCACATATATATAAGTACTTTAAAATGTTCATCACTGTTACTGCTATAGCATTTCATAAATTGTCTCCCTGTTAGATTAAAATGAAAATGCTAAAGTTCTGCTATTTAAGAGGTGTGTTAACATAGTTAGAACTTACAGACTAAAACAGAATACAAATTAATGAAAATAGACAAGAAATGATGAGATTTGTGAATATGACATTTTCTTGGATTAAAACTATGACAGAATTCAAAGATTTTAAGTCTATTGTGGTGGATGGTGATCTTCATTTAGACTTTCCAGTATATATTTTCTTGTATTCCAAAATGACTCCAGACAGAGCACATTTTCACTAAAAAGCAGTGTTATTTAAAATTCATAAATGAGAATTAGCCTTTGAAACAGGTTACAGTTTATTGCTTCTTTCTCACTCGTTTTTTGAGGTACATCAGAAGTCATCATTTTAACAATGGTGGGGGGTTTTTTTCCATTTCAAGGAGGGTGTGTTATGAACTTTAAAAAAAATTGTTGCTTACAAAAAAAGCTCTGTTTACAACTCGTGGGACTTCTGGTGATAATTTCCTACCCTTTAATCCAATTGAACATTTTTTAAAAATTACAATTTGAACTGAGAATTTGATTTTTCTTTTCTTGGAGTTTTTAATGAAAAGCAAATACAACTTTATTTCTTTGTAAGGAAAATTATTGTAATAGCTTTTATTTTCATTCATTGTACTTAAGGTCATATGTAAGTTGTATTTGTTATTGTAATCATCTAATGGTCATGTATAAAAAGTAATATTGAAACATCATAAGCAAAATGCTTCAGAATGTTAATTTTTCAAACAAATATGTATTTCAAATGTATGGTTACTAATAGAATATGGTAATCCTAACTTCAGTTTGTCTGAAATTACTCATTTGAACTATTAGTAAACTTTGCTTATTCTCACATTTTATTTCAATTATATTTTGTAAACGTTTTTCTCTTATGACAGAAAGAAAACAAGTTAGTAATGTTTATTAGCATGGGGTCCTACTGGTTGTGACTATTTATAATATATCAGTTAATTCAGAAGACTCTGAATATGCACAACTGATACTAATATCTATTTTGCATCTGTATATCCTGCCAGTCATGCAAATTTATATTTAAAATGTTTGCATTTCCTACAATTGAAAGAATTAGGATTCTTTTCAATTTTGACTGAGTTGATTATTGTCTTAATAAAAAATAGATCTCCTAATGTTTTTCTTTAACTATTTAATTTTAATAGTTTATTACATCAGTACTTCAGGGAATTTATTGTTGATGGGAAACTGCCAGTTTTTTTCTACTTAAAAAAATACTTTTTATTGTTCCCTACAAATTGTTCAAAGATTCCCATGAATCTTTCTCCAGGGGAGAAAGAATTAGTAGCATTTAGCTAAGCTACTAATGGGAAAAAGTCAAATTAAACTGTGAGAACACCTCCCAAACTTCCAATGAATTTGGATGTGAAGCTTAAAAATACTACACAAATGAAAAACTAATAGGACTGTAAAAATTTAAATCTTTAAGACAAATAGAGATTTGTTTGAGTTGTCTGAGGCCCTTGAGAAAAGCACTATTGCCGTGTAGAAAAGAAGTACGTTCTCTTACCTCTCCTTGCATTTGTATATGCTTTTTATTTGTTCCAGAGTTGAGGGAATCAAGGAAATGTTCACTTATAAACATCTAATTTATCTGAGGTCACTTACAAGAATGATTCACAAAGTATGCTCATTAAATAATTTAGAATTAAGCTGAAATTATCTTTAAAAAGTCACTTTCCCTTACTGAGCCATATGGTTTGGTGTCTACACAATAGAATAAAAATATTTTCCTAGCATATTTACATTATCAGTTCTGTTTATTAGATATGGAAAGTTTAGCCCTTTTCTGTAATGTATATTTTTTTAAGTATTTGAGTTGTAGT